AAAAACATCATTATTATACATCCAATTATCTTATTCTATTATAAAGTTAAAAAATACACCATAAAAAAATCTTATCTTTCAAATATTTATTGCCGACCAAATACTTTTTCCATTTGTAGCATATAAATCGAAAAAGCTTTCATTAAAACTTCTCATGGAAAAGATAATGCATATGTCACAGAAAACGTGAATTTCAATAATATTCTGCATTCTTTTTATTGCGAGAATTTGGTAAATATTAAGCAAAGAAACGCGGGCGAGCGCAAATATCGAATTTTATGAGCAGCATAAATACAGAGGAATCCCCTTCCGGCCATCCATCATGTCGCGGATGTTTTGGTCGAGGAGATGAACGAGTTACGGGACACTTTTCGGAGATTCTATGCCAAAATGTGCTGGTGAGCATTAACATTGGAAACATTAATTCAAACGATTTGTGGTGAGAGAGGCAATGCTCATAAAATGCTTAAAGTCAAAACGGTTATATGCATCTTTAATAAAGGAGATATTACAGAAAGATATGAATATTTCACTTGTTGAATTTTGTTTGATTTTTATAATGTTTTTGTATAATATATTAATGTTTACCATAGAAATAATAAAAAATTTGAAGCGAGACAAACTTTCGAAACAGTAGCATAAAATATACTTTTTAAAACTATTAAAAAGAATATTAATATATCTTTAAAAAACTAACATGTTAATAGAATCTACAATATTTGTCTTTTCGCAATATTCGATTATGCAAATATTATAGATATAGATTGTGCATCTAAGAAAAAATATTAGAAATTTATATATTATGATGACCGCGCGTTTAAATTTCAGTTCTCCTAAAAATTATGATTAATAAAAATTATGATTAATTAAATGATATTTTAAAAAATCCGATAATATAAAAATATTTCAAATCTCAGAATAAATAGAAAATAAATTTTTGTATTTTTGTATAAAATGTTTTCAATTATATTTGAGATTATTCTTATTTCTGTTTTTTATGATATATATATATATATATAAAAGAATTTCTATTTCTTCATAATAAATCTGTTTCTCATAGCTCTCTCATTAAAAAAAAAATTTTTTTTCTCGTTTAAAGTCATATTACAGGAAAACGAAATTTTAATAACAAAAAAGTTAATTTATCTTTCAAACAATGATAATTAACTTAGATCTCGATAGAAAATACACAAAAGATTTTATTCTAAATTGAATAATGTTTAACAAGGAGTGGCATAAAGACATGGTTTATTGCATTTGGGCGGCACTTTACGTTGCATTATCTCAACGTTCCTTGGATTTCCTTCACGTAGAAAAATCGCGAGCCGTAGCTTTCATAACTCATCTTCACTGAAATAAATAAGATTCTTGGAAACCGTTATAAAAGAAGAATACAATAGACACAGTCATTCGCTGCTAACTTGACTTACATTCGCGTTCGACCCTTTTGATATTCCTGCCCGAAGGAATCGTAAACTGATATTTCGTAGGGATCAAGTCCTGATTTATTCTCTTACAAAAAGGAAACAGGAACAGATATGCATTGACCCTTTAAAATTGAATATCAGGCTATGCATTTTCGTTGCACTCACAATCAGAACGAAGAGACGCGTACAGAACAACCCCAATCTCACTATTCCTATACATATAACTTTCTTCCATAGTATTGCATCTTTTTTCAATGATTCGTTTTTGATTAAATATCGATAATGATAAAGCTTGAAAAAGAATAAAAAAATAAAGAATACAAAAATCAAAAATGAGCATTCAATCTGATGCCAGGTTCTTATGTACCATTGGAATAGTTGTGTACGATTTTGCAGAAAGTTTTAATTCAAACAAGAAATACATCACTAGAAATTGAGTAATATCGATAAGCGAAAATTTATAACAGATTATACGATATATAATAATATTAGGTTAAAATAAGCGATAAAATATATTTTCTAGTTTATTATCGATATAAAGTATATTAATATTTATATGATAATTATTTAATTGTAAGCGATTTTTTAAACCAATTTAATTAATGCAATTAATTTTCTATTTAATTGCAGATATTATGCATAAATTTATTCATCCTTAATTTAAAACTAAAATACCATTTATTAAATGATAATCGATTTATTTCCTCTTGCATTCTCTTCTGAATGCTCATTTTTAATGCTCGCAATTCGCGGAATCGATGAGACTTGGAAAATAATGACTTTGTTCGTGCGGATTCATTCATTTATAATTTCTTATAAGAATGTTACTTGATAATCCGATGTTAACTGATAATCCGATGTAATGTAGAAACGTTACAAATTTCATTACAATTTTATTCCTGTTTAATATGCAATCCAAGTTTTACTAAAATGCGACTAATCTTTCACAATTATTTTCACCTTAAACTCTATTTGATTTTCCGACTTAACTCAAGAAAACTTGCCGTAATCGACGCGTCGTCGCTGACCATCCGCGCGTAGATCGATATTTAATTAAAGAGGGATCGCTGAAAAAAAAGGAAACAGATAAGTGGAAGGAAGAAAAATGTGGAAAAGATTGGAAAAACCTGGTGAACGTGAACTAAAAATGCATCCGGCCGTGCTCTTGGAGAAAACGCGCGCCGAGCAATTTTGTATCCCAGCTATTAAAGAAATCTATATATATTCGTTCGTTTCCAATAAAATCTATGTTAGACATAAATACGCTTTTGAAATATTGGACATTGAATCATATTTGTTCGTACGATCAATCTTCTGTTTAAATTTTTTTTAGATAACAATATTGAAATCAAATTCTCTTTTAGTAAAAAGAATGCGGTTTATGCATTGATAAGAAAAAATTAGAAAAATTTAAACAAAGTATTTTTATTAAAAATTTTAATCAACTGTACTTATTTCCAAGAAAGAAAATAATATAATTATTATTAAAATATTAAATGACATTCATAAAAAATATTAAATATGACAGATTAATAATTGATTAGTAGAAGAATTAAAATAAAAACAAAGTTATGGTATACATAATAAATGCATATAAAATACGAACAGAAAGCTAAATGAATTGCAGAAATTGCTGAAAAAAATAAATAATTCAGTAAACTCAGAATAATTCAATGTTAGCATCTATAACTTACAATTAGATATACATATTCATCTGCAACGAGTTTTAATTATATTATTATAAATGACTATTATTAGTTTTAATTATATTAGTATAAATGAATATTATTTTCTAACATGAAATCTCTCTTCTATATTTTTCTTAAGAAAAAATAAAAGAGAAAAATCATCGTGGATCATGGGTTTCAATGTCAGTTTTATCGAAAAACAAATTGAATTACAAAGGTATCAAGAGTGTACATACATACATATATCAATTCCGATTAATTTTTTTCTCGAGATGGACATAAAAATTAGTAGCCCGCTACAAAAACCGCATTCATCCACCAGTTGCATACGCTTTTTACTGCCGGTCGTTTGATAACAATAAAAGTCGTTGCAGAAGCTCGGATATCTGTCCAAAGCAAGAGAGGAAATTCAAAAAAGCGGAAAAGTAGGTCGCGAAAATTGGACGGGCGTGTCGAAAAATTGCGTTCGTAGGGAAAAATACATAGCGAGGAACATGACGTTTGCTTCCCAGGAATGATTCCCGGTTGGCGCCAAGTGCCCTTTAATCTATCGGGTGTCTGCGAGCGAACTGGTCTCGCAACCGTCAAAAATACGCGAATGTGGAACGCGACGAGAGAGAGAATCGCATTCTTGGCAAAATGATTACGTCCACCGTTTACGTGAATCGCAGCTGAATCGTCCACAAATTCGCACGCACGCTTCAGTCGTTCCACCGATCTTCCTCTGACGCTCTTATTACCGCGAAACCGTGTTTTCGGCACTTCGGCAAGTATAGAGACTACAGCTCCAGGCGCAAGAATTTCCGGAAGATTCTATTTGCGCGTGTTACTCGGAGCGAAGAATTTAGATAGATAAGTTATAGAGTTCGTACTTTGATGTAAACATTTTAGGAATTTCCAGTTTTCCTTCTACATTCTTTATACGCTACAAATTTACAAGTTTTTGCTCTTGCCTTTAACTTCGGTTATATTATTTAAGAGTTGTATGAAAATGTAAGAACATCTTTCTGACATTAACATTATACATCGTGTCTTAAGAAAAGCGATTAAGAATTAAACCTTACCACCTTATTATTCGCATCATTCTATATTCATAAAGTCTCATCAACGTTGATGAGCTTCAATCAACAGTTTGTTATAAATTCGCGCAGAGCATTAAATACTTTGACAAACCTCCGGAATAGGACGAGAGCTAAGAGCGAGGCATACATATCTGTAAAGGGAAGCTTCTGTTAAGGTGCTCATACATCTTCGTTAAATCTATGTCGCGCTTAGTCAACGCCCCGAGATACGCACCGGAGAGATTTCGCTTTCAAAGGAAACACAACGATATCTGTGTCCTTGCGATTTCTCATGACAGATCGTCACAGACATGCCATTTCCTATGCTCCACGATACCATTTCCATATCTACATTTACGTGTGGGGAGCCCCCTAATCGCGGCCGCGATATTTATTGGCGGCCCGCTATTACAGAAGCGACAATTTGTCATTCCGCTGTATTAATTACATAGGCTCTCTTGTGTAGATAAGGGTACTGGAAGCAACCTGTTTGAATCGAAGCTGTCTCCGGTAAATTTTCAGATTAATTGCTGCCGGGCCAATCAGTTCTTGTTTGCAATTAATAATGATATACACACGTACGCGATCTTTGTCAGTTGTCCAGGATCATTTATACACTGACTATCATCCAATAAACGGAATTCATGCAATATAATAATATATATGCGTATACAATTTTTATTGAAATGCGAAATATCGTATGCGAATTATTTTTTATATAAATTTAATTGAAACAATCCAAAGAGAGAACTCCAAAAAAGAACTCGTGTTTAATTGACAGTTGCTGTTGTCTGAAGAAATAAATAAAATAAGAAAAGACTTACTACTTTGTCGCCCAAATTTCGCACGCGGCATGGTAGATATGCGGTATGTCCTACAAATGCACTGACGTTCGCTGCTGTCGGCTCGAAAACGGTCAAATCTTCCATCAAATCATTAGTGGCATCGTTTACATGCCGCTGCGTACCTTCCTTGAATGTTTCGCGTACATGTGCTGCCGCTGAAAAGAGAATAACGTTCTGACAAATGACATGATCTACGCTTAATCTATTTTTCAATCTTATTAAAATTGTAAACAAGAAATAATTGTTGCTAAGCAAAATATTATTAAATAAAAAAGTAATAAAATTGCAGAAGGGTTATTAAATCTCTGACATGATCTACGCTTAATCTATTTCTCAATCTTATTAAAATTATAAACAAGAAATAATTGTTGTTAAGCAAAATATTATTAAAAGTAAATAATAAAATTACAAGAAGGTTATTAAATCACAGATTTAAGAAAGAACTTGTTTTCGTGTTCATGACTTAATCACACGTGTTGCATATGTTGAGCATCGCGGGGAGGCATGAGAAATGTTCTATCTTTCGTGAAACTTGTATGCGAATTCTGGACAGGAAACCAATGCTCGCCAACGTCTCCCGCGAGAACACAACTCCAAGTCTGCTGCGAGCGACTGCTGGATGTACTACTTACAAGATACCAGAATCCAAGTGCATTATAACTGGCAAGTAGCGAACTGGCGCCGAGCGAGCAAACTCAGCTCATTTCTTAAGCGTAATACGCTCTTCGACGTTTCGGTAGAATATCTTATGGAACATAGCTGTGCACTTTGCTTCATTGTACATGCTCGTTTGTATCTCTATAGAATTCTGCCTATCTTCTTCTCGCTTCCCCCTGCCACTCAGCGTCCCTTTCGTCATACTACGAAGAATAATCCAGCGTACTTTAGTGACAATGTATATGCTCGTTCTCATGATAGTGAAAGACATTACATGTATACACGATTTGCAGCAAACGACGTGTATTTTGTCGAGAATGCGTTCGCTAGCAATTTTATTTGCAAAATTTTCTCAACAAAGAATATTGCTGGTAATAAGAAAAAAAGAGAACGAGAAATGTTTTATGTTTAATCAATAACATGTTTTTATTGGCTCACTCGTGGAATTGATCTGAGTGAGTTTGCGGTAAAAGTGATTGTTTGGATGTTTTTGTAAAAACTTGTTTTTTAATAAATTAGATACAAGTTTATACGCTTTTATCATTATTACTCGTTTTCGTGCGTACACGTTTTTATAATCAGAGTTCTCCTGACCACCTCTACATTTCAACTATGACACAAAAACAACTATTCATGAATACAGAAAAAGTTGTTTTATAATATACTCTTTTTTATGTATTTTATATGTTATTCCTTCACGCATTACAAATTTATAAATTTATATTTTTGCGAGAATTTGTGCACAAAATATTGTATAAAAATACATGTTTCGAAATTAACTGCGACGCAATTTATGAGATGATGATGTGCAAGTTAATAAAAGAATGAGTATTTTTTAAGTCTGCTTTGCGCGTTCGTATAAATTTGCTTCACGTAGCAACAAAATAGACTCGATTCGCATATATTCTTCTCTGCAAGTCATAGAATTTATTTCAAACATGCATGTCACGTAAAACAAAGACGTAGTATAGAAGCAAAAGTTAAAGTTTCGAACGATTTCAATTTTAAAATATTATATAGTGTACGTTATTCAAATTGTGTGTGCATACAAAGTAACCGCAAACATCATTTCAATCACAAAAAGAAATAACTTAGTTAATTTAAAATTCAATTAAAAATAATATAAAGGAAATTGTTGTTATTATCATATTAATATTATTATTATTATATTAATATTATTATTATTATTATTATATTATTATTATTATATTAATATTAGTATTATATTAATATCTTTATTCAATCTATTCATGGAAATTATACTATCATACTTCATTATTTAACAAATTTTCTATCTAGCATTATGCAAAATAATCAGGTGTTTTTAATTCAATATTAAATTTCAAATTGGAGATATTTTTCTCTCTTATTTAATATAAAATCTTTATTAAATGGTATATTTGCATAATCTCGAAAAACGTTAGCTTTATATTTTACTTATTTCTAGCTAATTCATTATTTTTATTCTTAATGCTTATTATATCTTTCTAGCTTTTTGAGATTTTTATCTACTACTCAAACACGTGTTGTAAAACTTCAAACTTTTAAAAAAACTCTTCGAAATAAGCATTCAAATAGCTATACGGATTATTCTCTACTTAATATACTTTCGGAACGCTTAGTATATTCTCCATCATCATCAATCATCATCAGATTGAACGACGATACTCATTGGTGGTTGACAGGGATTGATCCGAAAGGAAAGTTTGTAATAGAAACTACGAGTTGACTATACGAATCCGCTAATGTACAAAAAAAAAATCAAGAATTCTAGAACTCTTTGAGGGACATTTGAAACTCTAATAATTTAAAAAATAGGAAGCCAATTTCACAGAGGTTATTGCATCAGAGACATAAAAATTACAAAAAATAATTTCCGTGCATAGTATAAATCGCGAGATAAGACATCTTGGTTTAAGATAAATTACCAAATCTTTAAGATAAATCACCCTTGAAGCAAATAAACATTTATTTCAATCTATTGTTACATTATGTCATCGTTGTCCATTTTATATCGCGACATTATATTTTATATAATGTCCGAACTATGAATAAAAAGATATCTTTTATTGCGACCCAAAAAAGACAAACACTTGCCAATCATTGTCCTCTTTTTGACCCTCGAGCGCGTGCAATCTGATAAATTTAATTGGATGAACCTGCATGCGGCATGAGAGTAAATCCACGGTGAATGCGGCGAGGATTGCGAGGGGCTTGAAACGCGGACGGCTATCGAATTATCAAACGAATCTGCCCAGAACAATCCGCTGACATCGTAACTCGTTGAGTTAACCATTTCGCATAAACAATGCTCTCTCCAAAAGTCTGCGATTTTCTCTTTCAATCTCGACAAACATTATAATTCATTCATTATTGTCACGCATAATCTTTATCTGCCATTATTTAACGCTTTGCATAAAAGTATTGTGTAAAGTGCAATTTAAAAATACACTTTATATTATGTAAATAAATATATATATGACAAAAATTGTAAATTTGTTTAACACTTGTAAGTCCATTTTTAAGTTAAACATTTAATCTTATAAATTTCTTATAATATTATAATTTACTATAAAAAACAGAATTATAATAATTTTTATGCATTCCACAAGTGTTTCGACATCCTACAAATTATATTTTAAATATGAAACGTGCACGATCAAGTATTAGAAACATATCAGTGAAATTTACAATTTGGAAGTTAATATTAACTTAGTTTATATGAACATCTTCGTTTACTTGGCTCGAGAATCGTGAGTAAATATTAGTTTGGTTCCATCACTACCTCCCACCATCCCTCTTGTGGTGCGATAACGCCCGTATACATACCCATTCCACTGACGTTATACAAATGACCAACACTCTACCCCTTTACGCCTTCACCCTAATAACATGGAGTAAAGTCCTACCACCCTTCCTGATAACTTCAGATTAATTGACAAAAAGCTACCGTCACAAATAAGGATGTACATTACCTGAAAATGACCCTGCAACGTCATTATCCCCGTCTCTACATCACTTTCAATGGTTTTTCCGGTACATAAATTAGACGAAGGAATTAAAGTAATTTTTAAGCCTCAATTTTTAAAAAAATATATTTTTTAAATATAAGGCAACGTCTCTCTCTTTTTTAAAATTATTTCTAAAACTACTATGCATAACGTTGCACGTTGAAATAAATAATAGTTCCAGTATATTGCATTCTTTAACATAAATTATATAATCTCTTACGAAATCTCTTTTTCCTTTACATATGCATCTTGTATATATTAAATAAATCAAAGTGGTGCCAACACATTTAAAAGCAAATGCATGATATGAATCACTCCAGGAAATTTGCGGAACAATTTCGACCACTCTCTCTTCCACAAATATATTTCTGTTAGATACAGTAATAGTTTCGCGTCTGACTACAGCCATCCGTTTCTACTCGTCGCGAATCCTCGACAAGCGCCACCTCGGCAAGAGTCTTTACAACCCCTATGTGAATAGTCACTTGCCACTTTTTTATCCCGAGGGCTTTTTTCCTTCCGTAATATTATAAACTGTGCGCGTAAATGTGCCGTAAACTAAGATTGCTGCTCCCCGCCATCATCATTATCATTTCTGTGACCGGAGACATTTTTCTTCTTAAAAACACCGATAGGCAAATCCTTTAAAAGGATCCTTTAAAAAGATCGAGAAAGAATGAAAATCCACACGTGTAAGCCCTAGTTTCGTTTTTATCGGCGATAAAAGCGCCTGGTTATGCCAGAAAAATAATATCACACCGATGGCTGTAGTTTCAAATAAACGTGCTTAAATGAAACGCTTTAAACGCGTTCGCGTTTATTATGCGTGTCACCTGTTTATGAATATTATTCTAACTACAGCTATGTGATAATTTAATGATTAGTACCGCTAAATTTGCAACAAATAAAACTAGATGCGAAAACGTATTGTGGCCGAATATTTTTCATGCTGCTTAATAAACGAAAGTATTAAAGCATATCTTCTCTCTTTGTTTTTTTGTTTAATATGAATAATTAATTCTTTTGCAGCATAAAGCGTTGACATAAAACTGTTCTTTTTTTATGTGTGAAATGTATACACATAAATGCTCGGGATTTTTACAAAAATTATCATCAAGATTCTTAAATGTATCTGTAATAAAATTAATTTATACGTAAATAAAAAAATCAATGCAATTTTTTATTACTTTTATACTCCAAGGGATAAGTGTGAGATAGGAAATAGCTATCTCTAGAGACATTTTCGTAAATTCTCATGTGAAGTCACAATTACTATAGAAGAGTAACATAACGTCCCACAAATTGCCTACGCACTAAATCTTCTTGGACTACTTCCTTCCAGATCCCACCTTTCTTACGAAGTTCCTAATTCGCGTGTTCGAGCGACCGACATTTTTATTTCTTGGAAGCATTATCTAGGTTTTCCCCTGGCATATTTCTTCCCAACGCGCTTTTCTGGACCGCTAAATCTCTTAACACGGCTGACG